TATATATATATATATATATATATACACACACACCTTGCTACGTGTACTGCGTAAGGCTAACCGAGACGAGTCATTTGCACTTATATGTTGTTGCTCTTTTGTTAGTTTTGACTGCTTTTATTGTCCTTTGTAAGTTGCTTTGGATAAAAGCGTCTGCTAAATGACTAAATGTAAATGTACCTGGAAGTTGCAAACAATGTGACTTTGTGATGCTTTAAAACAAAAACAAAATTTTTTTTACTGTTTAACAAAAAAGTAAACAAAAAATAAAATACAATAAAATAATTGTTAATGAAAAAAAATGAAAATTAAAATAAAATTAAGATAAATAATTTATGATGGTTTTAAAAACACTGCCCTGTGACAAAACTGAAACCATGCAACTACAATGCAACATTGTTAAATGTTGTAAAAATGTTTGACGCTTGCAAAGAAGTGATTAATAAATCTCAACCCACTTCCTGCATTTACAAAAACATAGCAGTGATAAGTGAGAAGTTGATATGTGATAAAGTTGTGAGCTCAAGACTGACTCACAAGTCAGAGGAGTCTAAAAAAGCAAGCTATGGCCACTTATGTTCACAATAGGTGAAAAAAAGAAAAACTTTCTGTAGTTTCAGACACTACTGTTGTATTAAAGGTCAACAGTCTTCAGAATAGTTCATAGTTACAAGTATACAGATAAACAATGCCATCATGCTCCTCTATACAAGCACTTGTTATTACCATCATCTGCTCCTCATTCCTCATATTTCATAAAGAACCTCAAAATGAAATCTGAAATTAAATGGCTCAGTCTGTGAAGACACACTCCAGTGTTTACAACGCAGTTACTGCCACTCTAGGAAGCCAGCCAATCATAAAAGAAGTCATTTACATACTGTAATAAAAGTCTTAAAGGTACAAAAACCAAAACAGCCCTTTCAATTCTAATGGTCAGAGAGAGGGTGGAAATGATTTCGTACAAGACACTGTGGCTAACATTACATTTTAACTGTATACTGCCTACACAGACAGCATCCTAACCGTCAAGGAAGCAAGCACACACGCCATACAAAACACCACTCATCACATGAAGTACATGAGCAATGTGACTCAACAATGAATCAAGAGAGAAAATTACGTTTACATGTTACAACTTAAGCTCAAAAAAGACAAAAAAAAAAACATAAAAGCAGTTTAATATAATTTAAAAAGTTTTAAAAATTTGTTTGCTATCAAAACTTTGGTAACACTTTAAAATAAAGTCCCATTAGTTAATGGATTCACTAAAATGCATTACCAATGAGCAGTTTATTTGTTGCAGTGCTTTGTTTACATCCAAAAAATACTGTTTATTGTTAGTTCATGTCAGTTCAGATACATTAAATAATATTATCTGCCACAATTTTTTATTTTAATAATATAATAATAAATGTTGAAATGAACATTAACTATGGTTAATAAATGCTTTAGAAGTATTTTTCATTTTTAGTTTGTTAACTAATGCAGTTAACTAATGTTAACAAATTATTATTGTAAAGTGTTATCAAAACGTTTTACCAAATAAACTTGAAAAACTTATAATTAAAATATTTTTATGTTTTTAAGTCTTATGCTCACCAAGGCTGCATTTTTTTATTTAAAATACAGCAAAAACATGAATATTTTAAAATATTATTACAATCTAAAATAACTACTTGAATACATATTTTAAAAAGGAATTTATTCCTGTTATAGCAAAACTGCAAAACTGAATTTTCAGCATCCTTGTCACATGATCCTTCAAAAATCATTCTAATTTGCTGCTTAAACAAACATTTCTTATTTTTATCAATGTTGAAAACAGAAACTTTGCTACACTAACATTCAAAAGTCTGGGGTAAGATAAAAAAAAATTTTTTATTCAGCAAGGTTTAACACGAATAATAAAAAGAGCTATTATTAATATTTGAGTACCAATAATAATTGAGCAGCGAATCAGCACATTGCAATGATTTCTAAAGGATCATGTGACACTGAAGACTGGAGTAATTATGCTAATATTGATAAGCTAAAATTAAGCCCTGCTAGGTAAATATTAGTATTGATTTACATAACCAACAACATGATATCAGGTCATGGACGTGTGATCTTACCTGTGGATAAGCTGTGTCTCTTCTGGGAAACACTGGAACACAGTGTGTCTTTATCTCTGTGGATCTGCGGACAGAAAGAGGAAGATATGGTCTTATGCATGTGACTGCATGAATGAAAAAAGCTGTCTGACACATTCAAAGCAACTATAAACATCAGACTGCAGGAAAAATCTGATGAGTTTTTTTGTTGTTTTTTTTCATTTTCTTTCATTGCTGAAACGGTCGACGTAACTGAGCGTTTCTAATGAATGTATGAAACAAAAGGGTAACAGAAGCAGCAGCTTTGCTCACATGCGCTCAGAGACTGCAGCATATATGAGTTTAGAGCTCAGTCTGTGGTTTGTGGAGCCCATAACAGCTGCATCTCACTCATCACAGACCACACACCGCCTCACACCGGCCCTGAGGGACGACAGCGGCTTCAGCGATCAGGATCCAATGCGGAGTTGCTCCCCACAAACAAACTACTGCTGGCTGGATTCTGACCAATGATAAAACCCAGCTTATAAAACAGATCCAGCTCAAATAAGATAAAGCAATACACTAATAAAGCAATACACTGAGAGGCAGTCAACTCACTCCCTTAATACAGGCATTTATGGAAATAAGTAAATAAATACTGACTTGAGATACTTTGAATGCATCTTTAAGAATGTTTCGATCAGTAATTTTTTTAAATCGTATGCCATAATACAAAATAAAAAACAATTTAAAAAAAGTGTGATTATGAATAAATGGAGTTAAATGTTATAGCTTGCTGCAGTTTTCTTTTTTGTAGGACAATAATGTGGAAAAAATTACAAAGAAAACGTAACATTTAATGAAACAAAATTCTAGCAAATATAAATAAATAAATAAATCATTAAAAAACAATGGTAGCCAGTAGAAAAAAAAAATCTTAATTGTTGCGCTCTTTAAAGGGGTCATATGATGTTGCTAAAAAGAACATTATTTTGTGTATTTGGTGTAATGCAATGTGTTTATGCGGTTTAAGGTAAAAAAAAACATATGCCCCGCCTTTCTGAAACGCGTCGATTTTTACAAAGCTCATCGTTTTGAAAAGCAAGGTGTACTCTGATTGGCCAGCTATCCAGTGTGTTGTGATTGGCCGAATACCTCAAGCGTGTGACAGAAATGTTACGCCCCTACCATACTGTGTTTCCATCATACAGTCTATGGTTTCCATGTGTCCCTGTGCGACGAGACAAAACCAATAAAACCCATTACAAACGAGGCATATGTTGCATCCAGTGGGGACATAATCACTGATTGTAATGACTTATACTGTGTTTTTACGCTTTGCGTTGCATATTGCGCCGCGCAAACATAAAACCATGTCTGCATTTGTGATCGGAGAAATTACAAACAATAAGCGCTACTCTACACTGCTCAAACTCGCGTTTGAATCGTCAGTGGCAAATTCTTTAAATATAAAAAAAACGTACTTACAGTCTGTGAGTCAGAAGCGCCAGACTGTCCTTGTATAGTAGGAACTGCCCCACTTTATAGAAACATTATCTCCTCTTTTGGAAGGCCAAACAAAGTAGTTTCACTTTCACAACAAAACACACAGAGACTTTAGTCTTCGCAACTTTACAGATCTTCTTTATGCACCAAGAGCTTGTAACACCCCAAAGAGAAAGGAAAAATTGTATCATATGACCCCTTTAAATAATAATTATGAAAAATAATAAACAGTTCCTTAACCAAGTATGGTTCATTTTTTTAAGAAATTAATTATTTTATTCTAGCAATAAATAAATAAATACATTTGTAATAATTTGTTGTAGGAGAAACCTTGAAGTATTTTTTTGTAAATAAATCATTTGCTAGATTAAAACAAAAATAATTTGTGTTTATTTATTACAAATATAAAAATGCGGTGGTCAGTAGGGGGAAAAAATCCTTATTGTTTGAACTCTGTAAAACATTAATTATGAAAAATAATAAGCAGTTCTTCAACCACGTATGGTTAATTTTTTTAAGAAATGAAATATTTTATTCAGCAAAGACACATTGAATTGATTAGTATAATGAAGTGACAGCAAAGACATTTACAATGTTACAAAATATTTATATTTCAGTTAAATGCTGTACTTTTGGACTTTCTAATGATCAAAGAATCGTGAAAGTTTTTTTTAATTGCGGTTCCCTGTTTTCAACATTGATAATAATAAGAAATATAAGAATCTTTAGCAGCAAATCAGAATATTACAATGATCTCTGAAGGATCACGTGACGCTGACGACTCTTATGCTGAAAATTCAGATTTGATGACAGGAATAAATTACATTTTAATATATATTAAATTAGAATATATTATTAAAATTAACATTTTAAAACGTTAATAATTTTTCAAAATATTACTGCTTCTGTTGTATTTTTTTATCAAATAATTACAGCCGTAATGAGCATAAGATTTTCAAAAATATATTTTTGAACGCTAGTGCATATGAACATAATTGTCTTCTATCACATTGCAGATGTAAAAGCACTGTAGACGGAATGTGTTTTGCCATTCTTAATTTGTTTTAAGGAAACCAACAGACAAAGCAGTCCTAATACAGGTCACATATAGCTTGGTGCTGAAAAGAGTCTCAGCAATCTTGTGTATCTTCTATACCGTACTTCCTTTTTCAAAGTCCAGTTTCAGTCTGTATTATACTAAACAGGCCCAATATTGTCATGCCTGCATGCCAACTATATGTCAGCTTTTGATCTGAGGCACTGAAAGGGTGAATACATACAGTGTATTGGAAATGTTTACACAGATCTCAAGTTACGGCCAGTACTGCTACTGAACAGAAATCTGTACAAAGCTCCCACAATAGAAAGCCTGTATTAAAGCATCCTGCACTGCTGATGGTTATTCACTCGGCTGGAAAGCACACTGAAAAGCTCTTTTGCCTTTGTTATAACCCAGCTACAGGGTCACACAGGTGATGCAAGATCGGACGGGGGAGAAAGATGGTCAACAAAGGATCCCTAGAGGGAGGGAATACAGGAGGAAAACGTGAGGAACCAGAGAAATGGCTTCTGATTTGACCCAAGAGCAGTTCACGTTTCCATCCTGGCCAGGGACTAATTATGTTCACACCCTCGAAAAACCAAGTGGCCGAGGACAATTTTAAAGCCATTAACAATGCACAACGCTGCATTGATGATCACGTCCATGCCAGAGCTCAGACAGTCCACTGTGTACCTCTGAGAAGACAATGCTTATGGAGAACACTGTCATCTGTTGTCCCGAACACAAGAGGCCGGGGAGCACAAACACACACTCTTTGGGTTATTTGCACAGCAGTTCCCATAATAGTGTGTGATGATATCACACAGCTGCTGCTGCTGAAAAACCAATAGAGATTAAAGAGATTATAAATGAAAAGAGCTGTATTGTTTAGGCATAAGTGGTAGAACTACAGCTGTCAGATTGTGACCGAGTTCGACATAGGTTTGTTTAATTAAAAAGTGCACGAGATGTTTTCATTGGATGAATTAATTCTTTCTTCACACTAAAATCAGATCCATTTGTCCAGGGGAGTCAATCATGGCATGTACAGAGATCATCAAATGTGCGAGTTTTAATAGTATATACAGGTGCATCTCAAAAAATTTGAAATCGTGAAAAAGTTCTTTTTTTTGTGTAACTTATTTCAAAAAGTGAAACTTTCATATTTTCTAGATTCATTACATGTAAAGAAAAACATTTCAAAAGTTTTTTGGTTTTAATTTTGATGATTAGAGCTTACAGCTTATGAAAGTCAAAAATCCAGTATCTCAAAATATTAGAATATTTCCTAAGATCAATAAAAAAAATCAAAAAAGGATTTGCAAAACAGAAAAGCTCAAGTTCTTTAAAGTATGTTCATTTATGCACTCGATACTTGGTCGGGGTTCCTTTAGCACAAACTCCAGCATCAGTGAGGTGTGGCATGAAGCGATCAGCCTGTGGCACTGCTGAGGATCTATTGAGCCTTCAGCTCGTCTGTATTGTTGGATCGACTCTTTCTCATCTTTCTCTTGAAAATATCCCATAGATTCCATATGGGGTTCAGGTCAGGCATGTTGGCTGGCCAGTCAAGCACAGTAATATCATGGTCAACAAACCACTTGGAAGAAGTTTTGGCACTGTGGGCAGGTGCTATGTCCTGCTGGAAAAGGAAATCAGCATCTCCATAAAGCTTGTCAGCAGATGGAAGCATAAAGTACTCCAAAATCTCCTGGTAGATGGCTGCATTGACTTTGGACTTGATAAAACAAAATGGACGCTTCTGACATTGTTTCTGTTTCAGAAGTGGCTTGGTAGCCCTTTTGCTGAAGAAGTCGGAGTGGTGACTCTTGATGCACTGACTCCAGCTTCAGTCTACTCCTTGTGAAGCTCTCCCAAGTGTTTGAATAGGCTTTGCTTGACAGTATTCTCAAGCTTCCGGTCATCCCTGTTGCTTGTGCACCTTTTCCTACCCATTTTCTTCCTTCCTGTCAACTTTGCATTTAATATGCTTTGATACAGCACTCTGTGAACAGCCACCCCTTTCAGTAATGACCTTCTGTGACTTACGCTCTTTGTGGAGTGTGTCAAGGATTGTCTTCTGGACCATTGCCAATTCAGTCTTCCCCATTATTGTGGTTTCAAAGAACAAGAGATACCCGGAATTTATACTGTAGGGATGGTCATTTAATGACACTCAAATGTAAATATTCAAATATTTTGAGATACTGGATTTTTTATTTTTATGAGCTGTAAGCTCTAATCATCAAAATTAAAACACTTTTTTTATGTTTTACTTTACATGTAATGAATCTAGAATATATGAAAGTTTCA